GTAACATTTATGAAGGGGTTCAGGGAAACTGGCAGGCCGGACTTGAGTCCTGGAGATGGGAAGTACAGTGCCTGCACTCTGAAGGAGGGGTGTTAATGTTGCAGTTTAAAAACTGTAGTGTAAAGCACCCTTCTGGCAAGACAGTGATGGAGTGAATGATGGTGAAAGTTTTTCTTTTTCAGGCCACCCTGCCTTGGTGGGAATCGGCCAGTGTGATAATAAAATATAAAAAAAATGGGGCAAACTCTTCCACACAGCCAATTACAGTTGGAGTCCCACAGGGAAGTGTCCTTGGCCCTCTTCTCTTTCTCATTTACAAAAATGACCTACCAAATGCATTGCAACTACTCAAACCCACACTATTTGCAGATGACACTACATACGTCTTCTCTCACCCGAGCCCAGTCATGCTAGCCAATACTGTGAATACCGAATTACAGAAAATATCTACCTGGATGAGGACTAACAAACTTACTCCCAACATTGACAAAACCTACTTCATTCAGTTTGGTAACAGAGCTACAGATGTCCCTCTTAACATAATGATAAACGGATCACCTATCACAAAGCTCACAGAGGGAAAATTCATAGGGATCCACCTTGATAACAGACTCAAATTTCGAACACATATACAACAAATTTTCAAGAAAATTTCCAAGATTTTAGGCGTACTATCAAAGATACGGAACTATGTTCCACAGTCAGCCCTCCTGGCCCTATATCACTCACTTATTTACCCCCATTTGTGCATGGGGCTCAACAGCAATAAACCATCTCAGACCATTAATTACCCAACAAAAGGCTGCAGTCATAATGATAACAAATTCCCACTACAGGCAGCACACTTCACTAATATTCAAAACTCTAAACCTACTCACCATACAAAACATCCATACTTACTATTGTACCTACTACATACATAGAACACTTAACATGGATATAAACCCTCCCCTCCAATGTCTCCTTACCAGCCTCAACAGAACACATGACCATAACACAAGGCACAGATCACTTTTTAATGTCCCTCGTGTCCATCTCACACAATGCAAAAACTCAATGCACATAAATGGCCCAAAAATCTGGAATTCATTACCTGTGAATATAAAAGAAACACTGTTTATTAATTCAAGTCTCTTCTTAAAAAACACTTACTCACCCACAACTCAATAAATACTGAATAATTGTATCTCATAAATGTTTAACCTGTGACCCAATCAAACTTTATTTTTCATTACATTACCTAACAGAATACTCCATTCTACTGAATGCACAGCAACACAGTAAATGACCATATGACCTGTCTTTGAAATACGTACTCATTTGTGCTTAATTGTTATCCATTTACAATAATGTTTACCACTTAATATAACATTGCTTAGTTAATCTTTAGTTAATTTTAAGCCTACCCATAATGCTCTGCATACAAGGGGTTTTGGCATGTTACACTTAACCACTGTATTTCTTTGTACTTCTATGTATCATATTCAAATTAATAAATAAATATTGTTTACAAAACTTGTTTACACAAACAATATAAAATATTGTTTATTACTATTTTTTCTATATTTTATATACACATATACAGTCACAGGACATGTTTCTAGAAGTTCTGCCTTTTCTTGAAAGCTGCAGCAGGCAGTTTGTATTAGGAAGTGATCATCATGCTTCAGACGAGAAGGTAGTTGTTGATAATTTAGTGGGAAGTTTTCTATTGCAGGTGTTGTTCCTTGGTACTTGAATACTATTTGTCTGATGACAGACAAACAAAATTTGCCATATGGTGGTTTGTTTCTAGTCCTCATCTTATACATATTATAAGCACTGAGCATGGAAATGTCCAGAAGACAGAAAAAGTTTTATGTACCATTTATAACTCATGCGAACACAATCAGCAAACCCAATCTGCATGTCACATTTGTCCACTGAGCGCATATTGAAGGTGTAATCAATCAAAGCTGCAGGTTTTAGAATGGGTTCATTGGTCTCTCTATTCTGCCTGCCAGTGTTTGTCAGTTCGTTAGGGTGAACTGATGACAACAGTGTGACATCTCATTTGTCATGCCACCGAAATGCCATGATGTCACTGGCAGCAAACGCCTGCACCTCACCTCTATGAATGCCAGTGTCAAATCTGGGCATATGCTTACTATTTGCACACACTGTACCACACACATGTCATGTTCACTCACAAAAAATCACTGAGTGAGGGGCTTGTGTACCAGTTATCAGTATATAATATATGCCCCATACCAAGATATTCCATCATTGTCCTAACCACATCACCAGAGATACCCAATAACTTCCTGGTATTTTGCAATGTATAACTTCCAGTGTACACAATAATATCCAATACAAGACCAATGTAGCAGTCACAAAGCACAAATAACTTTATACTAAAGTGTTTCCTCTTGCTTGGTATATACTGCTTGAATGAGAGTCTTCCTTTGAACAGAATCAAAGACTCATCAATAACAAGCTTCCTGAAGGGATGAAAATACATATTGAATTTCTCTTTCAGATACACACACACATTCCTAATCTTATATAATCTGTCGTTTCTGTCAGGCCTGGTTTTGTCTGAGAAGTGAAACATACATAACAGTAGCATAAATTTATTCACTCGCATTATATCGCTGAATCAGGCAGTCTGTTGACCAATATGATTTGACACAGTGCTTATACACATGTGGCATAAGCATTATTGTGGCAAAGAAAAGATACATCTCAGCCACAGTTGTCTCCTTCCACTGGTGTAGGCATGATTTTGGTGAAAGTATTGTGTTTGCCATGGTGTACTCGAAGTATCTGTTGCTTTCCCTCACAGTAAGTTCCAGCAGGGGTTCGTCAAAGAATAACTCGAAACATTCCAGTTCAGTGGCATTGTTCCCAAGTGTACAAGATGGCTGTATTCCACTTTGACTTTCATCAAACTGATGGGGACTGGGAACAAAATTGTCAGCTTCCCGCCAATCCCAGGTGCAGTCTGCTGGTGGGTACTGGATATTGACAGGTGGTTATGGTTGTGGAGTTTGTGGTTGTGGAGGTTGTGGTTGTGGAGGCTGGTGTGATGGGTGGGTGGGGGATGGTGGCCTTGGTTGTAGATCAGCTGAGGCAGCAGCGTGGGTGGCAGCAAGGACTACTGCTAGTGCCTCACGGTTGACACCACCACTACCACCACCATGCACATTTTCCATCCCAACTGCAACACTATCATCTTCATTTTCACTATCTGTTCCTGTTGTACAGCCACGGGATGCACTCTGAGATGTATTCCTTCCCCTTGCAATAGTATATGGCACACTACGAGAGCGCATATACCCTCGTATATACTGACACTTCACTGGAGACTATTCCACTTCACTATCATTACTGGAACTATTTTCAAGAGCTTGTAGTTCATATTCACTATCACTACCATCATCAATGCTCACAGCATTTCCTCTTTTGTTCTGGTACAACTGAACGTGAACAAGACGGCCCAGCAGCAGAGGTGGAAGGCTGAGGGTTGTCTGGGTTTTCCTCACTATTACTGGTATTATGGTCATTAGTTTTGGTCACAACCTCATCAAAACCTTGAAACTCATCTTCACTGGCACTTCCATCTGTATTAGAATTGTCACTGAGGAACAAAAGTGTCCCAAATCGCCAAGGAGTGAGGAGTTTCTTACCACAAGGCATGGTGAACAAGGTGTACTAAAATGGCATTTCCACAATGCACCACTGGGTCCCAGATTTTTTTTTCTATGGCACACCCATTCTCTCACATCTAGGCCTACCAGCCTTTTACTGCTTGATTTGAAGGCGCTAGAATTCACGCATACTAGTACGTCAATAACCTTGGCGCATAAGCCGTACTAGTACATCGGAAACCCTGAAAGGGTTAATAATATTAAGAAAGTTGTGCATAAGGAATGCTTCAACAAGATGGCATCTGTAAAATTATGGGTTTGGTCAAGGAGTAAATTCTCACTGCACTGATTCTTTCAAGATTTTCAAATCAATCTGCAGAGCTTCCAAATATTTTTGTCATTTATAGCCACCTGATCGCACTGATTAAGTCCAATTAAAATTTTAAACTAGAACCAAGACACACTGGAGAACAAGACATTACTGATGGCAATATTTATTTTAGTCTTGGCCACTGCTGTGGCCAAGAGGTGGCTGTTCTGTTAGCAGGTACAGTATGATTAGGATGAAAACTACAATGTAAGTCTAGATTTCAAACTAGTCTTTCAGGACAAAGTTCTCTGAAAATAGTATCCAGATAAATGTTGCCAGAATCTTTTAAACTGGTCTTGGTAGAGTAAGACCTGATGAAGGATAGGTAAAAAGTCTGACATAAACTATCCCTACCAGAAAGTAACAATCTGGCAAGCCAACACTGTATCAAAAGTAATGAATACCATCAGAAAACCAATATATAAAAGTTTCTCTGTAAATATGGTAAAAAAAAAAATCAATGACTGGGTGCCACATAATTAAGCTAGGAAGAGTATGGAAATCTTCCTTGATACATGGTAATACTGATGCAGCCCAGTGAAGGATTCTGCTCTGAGCATTACTATTTTAATTTGGATTTGGCCTCAACAGTAAAAAATTATCAAACAAAATATCAGACCTATAAAATATTGCTCTGGTAATAAGATTTGTTGAAAAAAAATGGTGTAAGTAGTGTGGTACCTTGATGGAGAATGCAGGCAAAAGAAGTGACAGAAAAGAAGAATACAAGTAAGAAAGTTCGGTGGGATATGGCCGGTTTGTTGTAAGAGGAACTAAGAAAGTTGGAAATACTTTAATAGAGATTGCTCTTCCTATCTTCGTTAAGCAGTAGGAAAGAGTCACCATGTCTTGACTTTTTTAGGATATCCCAGGTAATTTACACTATCTGTAATAATTGTACTTATATGTACCTGTACCTAAATAATCTTACTTAGAAGAAAACTTAAAAAAATTATGCAAATTAGTACAAGTACAGAACTCTATTCAGTTCAAATTCTAACCTGTGTTGTTTCATGACATCCGTTTCATCCAGATGGTGCTCCTCAAGTAATTTTTTAAGATCTTCTCTTAAGCTAAGTTTTCGGCTAACCTGAAAAAAAATAAATTAAAGCATTAATCAACTGAGTGTGAATAAATGAAGTTTTGGCTTTGAATAATAATTTTTTATCCGACATAGCTAGAACCCCATAATTAACTGGAATAAAAAAGTATGCACAGTATTTCAAATTTCTGCCTCAATAGTGATGAATATAACATCACTATCTTATGACCATAAATTAAATGTGTCATCATCACTCTCACCACTGTATGACTATACTATTTATGTGGAAGATGTGGAGAAATTTTCTCCAGGAGGGGGGTATCAGCCCCCTTCAGCCCTTTCAGCCCCTTCAGCCCCTTTCAGCCCTGAGGGGCCAAGCCCTCTCAGAAGGGGGCGAGCGTCTTGTTTACTGCTACAGTGAGTAATTGATCACAGATGCTATGCGACGTAGTCAAGTGACCTCTGCTCCTTGCAGTGGTGTTGCAAGGTGTATTTTTATAAGAGACAGTACATCTCTTACTTAGCAGGACAATTAAGGAAAATCCTGCTCCCACTTTATTACCATGGTAAAAATAGTGGACATTGTTGTCTATGCTTAAGACAGCAAGAATCAAACATTCTGCTTTGCTTCATCGAGGAAGTGACAAGGAAGAAAGGATTTCTGGTCACTTTTTTTTTTTGCTAGGGCGGGACGGTTTTGGGGCGGTTTGGCATCGCCAGACACCTTTGACTCTAGTGAGAGTCACACTGACGCCAGGAAAAACCCAGCAAAAAACACTGTGTGCTTTTTGTGTGAACAAAGTGTCTCACAAAACACAATAAACATTAAAAGAAAGTTAAAACAGCTTCCCTTTGTAAAAAAATGTGAACAATAAAGACAAATTTGGGGAACATATGTCCCAAAGTGTGGGGTTTCCAAAAAATTTGGAAAAGCCCGGACATCCAAGGACACTTCAGTTTTCCTTATCAAGTCACCGATACCTGTCGAAGGTGTTTGAGAACACCAAGCTCACTTAAAAGAGCAAGGTATGAAACAAATTTCCCTTGTAAAAGGGGGGAACCTGCGGGGGGGTTTCTTGACCGAAAGGGAGTTTTTTAATAAACCTATAGTGGGCAGTAAGGTGGGGATTTTTAAAAGTCCAAAAAAGGGGTAATCGCGCCATCTCAAATAAAAAATATGCTAAACATAACACAAACCGGGGGAAATTTAAAAATTTTAAAAAATTTTAAAATTTCCCCAAACCCTGTTTGTGATCCCTTTCGACAGCTTTCAAGACCCCGTCTGGGGGGCGGCTGTGTAGGCGATGATTTGTCCTTTTAATTTAAAGTAAAAACCCTTTAAAATTTTTCTGTAATGCCATTTCTCAACAGAATTGGTCTTGCTCGAACTGAAAAGACCACACTGGGGTCCAAAAAAGTTGATTTACTTTGAAAAATAACCTATGACCCAAAGGGCCCCTTCAAAAAAAAGCTGAAAAACCCCAAAGTGTTTTACAATAAAAACCTATAAATGAGCCCCTCCAGACTAAATCACAAGAATGGGCACCCCAAAAGAAAAGGGGCGCTCACCCAGAAATTCCCCCAAAGAAAAGGGAAACCCGGGGTTGACTCCCCCCAAACCCAAAAAAACGGGAGCTGGGTGACTCACCCACCCCCCTGCCCCCACTGCTCCAATCTCGAAAGGCTGACCAAGCCCAACAACCCACAGATGTTCAGTTTTGTCAAATGGGGTGTAAAACACATTTTTAAAATTTTTAATAGACAGAAATTAAGGACAAAAAGTTTTAAAAGTTTTGTTTCTTAAAAATTTCTACCTGTTATATTAAAGGAACTTATATATAAAGTGAAATTTTTTCAAAAAATAAAATTAATAGTGAAATTTAATATGTGTAAGTAAAAATTAAAGGGTAATTTACAGTTATACGTAAACTTTTATATTTAAAATTTAATTGAAGGTATAATATCGTTTTTTTACGATTAATCATCGGGCCGGGCTGACACAGCAAACCCCAACCAAATAAACCCCAGACACAAAAACCCTTTCCCCCTTCATGGCATTGCCCCCAAAGGTTAAGCTTAGGGGTCAGAAAGTGTCTGACCGTTATTGCGATTTAAACCCTAACAAAAAATCAGCTGTCTATAGCAGTACAGTTTTTTTTAAACACTCTAACTGTGGTTTAAAATTTTTTCAGTATACCTTTAAAATTTGGCTTTTTTTGAAAACTCATTTTCATTTCTTTACAGACTAAGATTACACAATTAGAAAATCTAATTTCAGTCGTATAGGATTAACTCCAAAAATACAAACATAGATTTTGATGATTTTTAGGTAAAGGTTTAAAATTATTGCCCCAACATATGGAAAAAATTTAAATTCAAACTAAACACAAAAAGAAAAAAATTTCTTGAATCAGATCCATCTGAGGATAAAATTAAAAAGTTTTGGATTTTTTTTAAGTGTTTCAAAATTTGGGTTTGGACAGGAAACGGCTATCTGCTGAAAAAACCCGTCACAGAGACCTACTACTAGGGGTAAAACACCTGTTACACCTTTTTTTAAAAAAAAAAAAACCAAAAAAATTGGGCCCCATTTCCCAGCTTACCAAAAATGTCATTACCTTTTTTAAAAGGTCATAATTATGAAGAATTCATTAGTGGGTTTCAACCCTTTTTAAAAAATCCCCCAACTGACAAGATGAGTTTGCTAATTTTAATTTATTTTAAAAAGTTTTTTAAAGGGGAAGAACTCTAGAACTGATTAAGTCTTTTTCCCGTGGTAAAAGGGCAATTATCAAATCCCTTACGTGTTTTAAACAGCCCAATTACTTTGACGCGAAAGGCCAAGTTAGAAAAGGCAGTTTTAAATATCAAGCTTAAAGGGCCACCCAAACATTGTTTTTCAGACTTACAGGCATTTAGAAACACTTTAGACAATATCCCAGATCTCTAATGCTAAAAACCTGAAAATGTGTTTGGTTTTAAATCAGTATATTGTAAAAGAAAGTTGTCACCAAAAAACTTTTGAACATTAAATAAAAATTTTTAAAATAAACGCAATTTCACGGGGAAAAGGGAAATTAGCAGGGGTTTACAAACAATAGTTTCATGCATGCAAGAAACCGACAAAACAAAAAACCCACAAACCAGGGGATAAAAACCCTTTCAAACCCCGAAATAAAAGGGAGTAAAACCCTACACCCCACTAAACCACATAAGGGGAAACCCCATATGGGCAAAATCAAGCTGGAAAAACAACAAACGGGAAACCCCAGACTGCCCAACATAAACGTATTTCCAAAATGGTACTTTTGTGATGAACACTTTGGGCACAGTATTGATTCAATACACATAAATGGGGGGAAACGTAAAAAACCGTGTTCATCAGCTAAAAAGGTTTGAAATAAAGGGTTTTTGGGTAACACAAGGGAGGAAAACCCCCTAAAGAAGTTTTTTTAAAATCAAGAGTATGCATCATAACAGCTTTAAAGCCCAAATATTTTCACGAACGGCAGAAGCCCTTCCACAACACAGGAAGTCCCCCAAACAACAGCTTTAAAAAGTGGAGATAATTTTTAAAGCAACTGCTCCCCCAATAGCTCGAGTTGAGTTTTTTCAAATAAATTACAAAAAACCCAAATTTGTCAAACCCACTATTTAAATAAAGGGCCCTAAAAAAGGTCCTTCATAAGAAGAAACAGTGTTGCAAAAACTGAATAAACAACCCTATGCCAAAATACAGTTAATAAAGTTTGGTTTTTTTTTCCCAAAATTTCTGGTAACAGACAATCCCAAGCCGGGAATCACTTTTTGGTCGGGGAAACAGAAAAAAGACAGTAAAAGCTGGGGTAGTAGATGATTTGCCTAACTTGCAGATCCAGGGTTTAAAAAAAACAGTTGCAGCACTAAAGGGCAGCAAGGGTAAAAGTTAGCCTGCCGACAACAGCCCGGACACAATTAGCCAATTAAATTTAATCTTTGGGGAAGTGAAATTTTTAATACTGTTTTGGGGCAAAAAATAAAATTAAACATGATTTTCACTTGCTGAAAACACCCGGGAGGCCACATATATGGGTCCCATTCCCCTCAAAGGGGGAAAGAAGCGGAATTGATTCAGGGGAAAAGTATTTTTTTAAAGGGGAATAACCGCTGATCATGACCACAGAAAAAATTTAATCATTACGGGAAAAAGAATAACCCAGTTGATAAATTGGGGGGGATTTTTAAGCGTTTGGGTATTGATTTTAAAAAAACCCCAACCCCACAAAGACCCAAAATTTAATAGCCAATATTGGAAAATGTCAAATATAAAGAGGGGACAGTATTTGGGAAGGTTACCAGGGAAAATTTAAAAATTCCACCACATCTCCCTAGAAATTTATCGAAGGGGCTTTCGGACAAAAAGGAAAGCCAAATACAAGCACGGGAAAGGGAATCCAGAGCAAACCACGGGCTATGAAATATCATACAAAAAACATTTGGGAACAAAAATTCTTTGAGGAAATAGTCGAAGAAAAGTTAAAGACAAACGCTCATTATCTCCCGCACCATGGAGTCGAAAAAAAATTCTAAAACCCCCCACTACGTTTTGTATATAATTCAGCGAAAGTCAAATAAAGTTTGAAAGGCAAGCCCCTTAAATGACTTCTGAAGACCGGCCCCGCACAATCGAGAACTTGGAGACGGTTTTAAAAAATTTCGCAAAAACCCCTATCCCCCTTACCGGCTAAATTTTTCCCCCAAAGATTTCTTAAGAGTAGGACTAAAAGAAATAGAGATTAACCATTCTTGTGGCCTGAAAATCCAAAATGACCTCAAAGTCCTGTAAAATTTTTTTATCGTTTAAAATCAGTTTTATTTGGTGCAACACCCTCCCCATTTTTACTAAAGCACTCTAAATACACTTTTAAAGGGAAATCTGAAAGTCCCTTCAAAAAAATTTTTAAAAGAAAAGTTCTAGGTGGACAATTTTCCCAAGTCTGTGAAAAAAGGGGGGGGGTTTTTTTTAAAACCCTTAAAAAGAGAAGCTAACAAGGAGATGAAAGAAGAAAACATCCTCAAGGAAAGGGGAAAATACAAATTAAAAGAAATTAAAGGGGAAATTATCAAAAAAATTTTCCCCTTGAAGCTAAAATTCCTAATTGAAACCCAATAGGGTGGGACTTTTTTGGGAACCCACACGGGAAGATACTTTGAGTCTAA